AAAAAAGATTAAAAAGTCAATAAGATAGAATGTTACATTCAAATCATAATTATCTTATTTTTCCTCTCATAAAAGTTAAAAAATTCATCACAAACGAGACTTTTTAGTCCCAGGTTAAAATAGTTAAAATGCTAAAAAGTCAACCCACAATCTAAACGAAGGCAAAGTATTGTGTATATAACTAATTATTTAGTCATTTTAGAATATTATGTAATCTATTCTTTAGCGCCTACAATCTACGATGGCACCTTAGTTTTAGGTCTTGTTTACTATAATCTAAAAAAGTTAAAAAGTCACTATATTATTTAAGTCACATCATCTTATTTAAGTCACATTATCTCTCTGTCACTTCACTTTAAACCCAACCCATATTTTATATAAAAATTCAAAAAGTACACTTATTTAGATCATCCCAAACCACCCCTTAGTCTCATTATAGGTGTGGTACCACTTAATAAAGGCTTCGTTTGGCATAAATGGTTTGAGTTAAAATAATTATAAAAAAACTAAATAGATTAAAAGTCAATAAGACAAAGGGCCATTTTGGGAACATACTAAAAAAGTCAGTTTTTTGGCTTTTTAGTTTTTTTAGCAAAAAATGCCAGTTTTTTTACCCAAAACAACCCAGTTTTTTGCCAAAAAATTAGAAAATCAACTTTTTACCAACTTTTCAAAACACTCCAAAATGTCATATTCAAATCATAATTATTTTATTTTTTACTCACAAAAGTTTAAAAAGCTCATCCCAAACGAGACTTTTTAGTCCTAGGCTAGGCTTTGTTTGGGAATAGGCTATTTTAGGCCTCATTTGGGAACAGGCTAATTTAGTAACTTTTTGGTTATTTGGCTAAAATATGAGCTAAAAAAAACTAGTATGTTTGGGATGACTTTTTGGCTTTTTATGAAAAGATGTGCAAAAAGTAGAGAGAAAAGAGAATCTTTGACTTTTTGGTATGGGTTGTTGGCTTTTTGGCTAAAAATGAGGGTTCCCAAACGAGGCCTTAGTAACTTTTTGACTTTTGGGCTAAAATATGAGGTAAAAAAAAAAAAAACCTAGTATGTTTGGATGAATTTTTGATTTTTTACGAAAAAATATGTAAAAAGTAGAGAGAAAAAGAAAATTTTGACTTTGTAGTATAAGTTGTTGGCTTTTTGATTTTTTTTAGTGACTTTTTGACTTTTAAGCTAAAAAGTGATGTTGTCAAACGATTAATAGCCAAAAAATCAAAAAATTAAAAAGTCAATCCACATCTCAAATGAAGTCAAAACATTCTGTGTACAACTAATTATTTAATAATAGGGCAAATTACATATACACCCCTCGAGGTTTGGCTAAATTACAAATACCCCTGAGGTTTGAGAAATTACGAATTCCCCCCTGAATGCTATATTTACATAAGAAATTAGGGGGTAATTTGTTATAATGGTTTTGAGCAACCAAATATACCACGTGAATCACAACGCGGCATAGAACACGTTACCACTTTGACCCGAATAAATCGATGCTCGGGGCCCACCTAAAAAATAGACCAAACTTGAGAAAAAATTCTGGTTTTACCTAGAATTTTTCTACCATTTCCAACAGAAAGGGACTTGGGTCGCTTAAGCAAATGTCTCGAGTTTGAGCCTTTGTGGATGCAGCAAACCTCCTTGGGAGAGGACCCCGCATTTGCGCCCGGCAACTTCTTCGACGGATTAGTCCTGGGTCCAAAAAACCTGGAAATACCGTAGGAGACCGAAAATAAATAAATAAAAAATGAATCTATTCTTTAGCACCTATAATCTACCGCGGGACCTTAGTTTTAGTCCCAATATAGGTGCGGTAAAATTTCCTTTAGATTCTTTGTAGTGATGATGGGCAATAATCTCTGGCAAATATGTGGAACAGTTTATTTATATATTCATTTTAAAGTATTGTGTAATTTCGAAATATCATATAATATTATTTTATGAAAAGTAATTGAGAGACAACAATAACTCAATTAATGTGTATTATTATTTTGAGATAATGTGGCATGATATTCTAGAAATATCTAATAATTCTTTCAATGTAGATGGATTATTATTTAATAGTTTCCAATTATCACATGATACTAGTTACATAGTGGTCCAAAATAATTATGTAATTAAAAATTTTACTAATAAGCTATGCATTAAGTAATTAAAAACAAAAATGACAAATATATATTATAAGTTTTAATTTTAAAAAATATAACCTAAATAATATCATGTAATAATACTTTCATAATATTTAATAAGAAAAATGATTCATTTTCACAATTTTATCTCACAAAGGTGTTCATTTAGAAACTCTTATCGATCAATAAATAAACTCTTCCCAATAAAAATTTATGAAGAAACGCTTTTGTGGAATAAAATTTTAGACATAGCATTGGCGATTTAATGATTTTCCTATTTGCACAATGGGAATATAGTTGAAGAAATGGGGCTCTCACATGGGGAGAGAGGTAGTAGGGCCACAGGACTCCAAATTTTCAAAAGGCAATTGTCTTGTCATCTACAACTACAATTCATGGAGCATCCTATGTGATATATGCTCTTCTCAAATTCTCACCTTTTCTTTTTCCCCTTTTTGTTTAGTCAAATTTTACTTTATTTTCTTATTTAAAAATTAAGGTATTTGAGAAATTGAGTGGCTTTTTATCTTTTTTCTTTTTTTTTTGTGTGTGTGTGTAGAAATTGAGTAATTTTTTGATTTTTTTACATAGATGATTAGCGATCTTTTTAAAAGAATAAAAGACATAAAACTATTTGTTATTAGGTAAAAAAAGTTTTACTAATAAATTTTTTGTAATAACATTTTAAATATATTAAATTTATTAACTTCTAAAAATTGTAAATGCCAAAAAAGTGATTCTTCTAGACATACCATAAATCTCCCTTTTGTTTCCTCAGTCTGGGTAAAATTTGTTTGGGTAAATTAAAAATACATCCTGAGTTTTGATTAAAATACGAATCACTTCCTGTAATTTTAGAAATTACATTTTACCCCTTGAGATTTCTAATTTCATAACAAATCATCTATTTTATTAATAAATCATGAAATCAATTAACAATTTTTAATGATGTTAGAAATATGTTTCAATTAATAATTTAGGTAATTTTATTATTGTAATGGAGATTAATTATGAATTTCATTTTTTTAGTTAATTCTGTTAAATAAAAAATTCTGACAATAGAGTATTTATAATTTTTGAAATCACAAAGGACAATCTGTACTTTAAGTAAATTTTAAGAGGTGTATCTGTAATTTACCTAATTTGTTTTTGTTAACAGAGTGGAAAAAAATAAGAAAGCAAAAAAGTTTGCTAGAAATTAATGACATCCCTAAACTCACTGATTATTATTATTATTATTTGGTAAATGAATACCTCACGAACATTAGTTAACAAAATGGAACAAGTTTGAGGGATTTAACAATTACATGAACAAAAGACAGAGAGAAACACAGTGACCTTATATGTGGAAAGGTATGTGTTGGGTTAACTTGGGATTAAAGTTTGTCATTCTTAAAGCAATCAAGGCATCTAATTGCTAGTATTTGATTCTCTCTCTCTCTCTCTCTCTCTCCCCTCCTGTGGTGACACACACTGAAATCTTTGTACCTAAGCAACTATATGATGCAAAATTATAATCCTAAATGAAAACTCACACTATGTTTTCTAGAGTAAAATAATTTAGAATTATTATGTCAAGTTTGATTTTAAATTATTTATTATTAGCAGAAAAAATGAGTAAATTCAAGATCTCACCTCTTAAAAAATCAAGTCCCTATAAAGTAAGATTTCAAATTCTATTTTTTCATATGCTAATTATAAATAATTAGACTTGTAACCGATATGGTAGTTCCAACATATTAAATAATTGTTTATATGATATTTTTAATTAATTAAAAAAAGCGTAATAGACACTTAGACATGTTTTGGAAGCTGATCATTTTAGTCAAAAAAAAAGTTAATTTTTTTTTTCTTTTTTTATACATATTTTTTAGTAAAAAATTTAAAAATTATTAGAAAAACTAATTCGCCAAACAAATTACAGTATGTTATGTTGAGCAACCAGCAGCGAAGTCCTGTTAGTTGAGTATATGGACACATGCACACACTATATGGATTAAATGTTCTTTTTTTTTTTTTCTTTTTTTTTTATTACATAAATACAATTGCGGATTTAAAGATTATATGAATGTACTGGTTGTTCAATGAAAATTGAATGACTATGCCCTCTTTTGCGTGACATGACACTTTCAGATCAACAATTCATGAATTCAAAAAAGGAGCCACCAAAGAAAATCAAAGCAGTCATGAATGTGTGTATCAAATTGTAAAAATCCATAGAATGCCTCTTTTCAACCTTTTTCATATCCACAGCCAAACATGTCCTTCACTTTCGCTAAACATGTCCTTCACTTTCGCTGTTCTAACAATCCATCTTTTTTAATGCCATTTGGGCTCTCTCCTCTGTTCTTTTGCACAGCAGTATCAAAACAACACCTTATTCTCACACAATCTTTTTAATATATTTTCTTGGTTTTCTTTCCTTCCACCGGAGAGACACTACAATCTCTCTCTCTCTCTCTCCCCTCTGTTCAAGAAAGAAACAGAGAAATGGAAACTAACCCAGCTTCCAAATGGAGTTTTCTATGGATATTGTTGATTTGGGGAGTTCAATTAGCACAATGCAGTGTAAGTTACGATAATAAAGCTCTTATCATCAATGGACAGAGAAGAATTTTGCTCTCTGGCTCCATACATTACCCAAGAAGCACCCCTCAGGTAACTTTCCCACACTTTCCGGGAAAATGCAGATCCCTTGTGAAAATTTTCTTAACAAAATCAATGTGGGTACTTTGTAGATGTGGGAAGGGCTTGTACAGAAGGCCAAAGATGGAGGCTTGGATGCTATTGACACATATGTGTTCTGGAACCTTCATGAACCTTCTTCTGGCAATGTACTCTGTTTTTTACTTGCATTTTGTTCATTTTGCCCGACTTTTCTCTGTATTCCCTAATTGGTAGTTCTCTCTCTCTCTCTCTCTCTCTCTCTCTTTATTTGTTGCGGGTTTTAGTATAATTTTGAAGGAAGATGTGACTTGGTTCGATTCATAAAGGTGGTTCAGAAAGCAGGGCTATATGTTCATCTTCGCATTGGGCCTTATGTTTGTGCAGAGTGGAATTTTGGGTAGTCACATTTCTGGTTATGTATTTTAAAGTTTTAATCTATATATATATTATGCGTTTTTGAGATTCAAGTTTTATTTTTTATTTTTAACGTTTGATTTTGTTTTGCTTTTGTGTTTTTAGGGGTTTTCCCGTTTGGTTGAAGTATGTTCCTGGCATCAGCTTCAGAACAGATAATGAACCTTTCAAGGTCTCTCTCTCTCTCTCTCTCTCTCTCAAGATTTTGTAAATTAAGCCGTTACCTTAATAGATAATTATTGGTGTTGCAGACAGAGATGCAAAGGTTCACCCAAAAAATTGTCCAAATGATGAAGGATGAGAAGCTGTTTAAGTCTCAAGGTGGTCCGATCATCATGTCCCAGGTGTGGCCTTTTGTGTTTCTTTGCCTCTTCATATTTGCTGTGTTGCGGTGATTTTTCCATAATAAAGCTTATATTTTTGTCTGAATTTGTATATGACACAGTGGAATAAAATAGATATCATTATAGTAAACGAAAAGGGTGTCAAATAACTAAGAAATAATCTTGCAAAACACGAAATAACTAAGAACTAAGAACAAGTTGCAAAAAATAGCAAATTTGAGTAAAACCCAAATTCTAGTACTATTAGGCCTTGGAGAAGTGCCAAAACAAGCGGCATTGGAAAAAAGAAACTTCTAAATAAAGTTATAACAAAACTTTGCAAAAATAGAAAAAAATGCTAATTTGAAGTTGGTTTGAGCTCGTTAATCTGACCTCACAAGCATATTCTTCTGACTTTGTTTGGTAACAATAGTCTTAGCTCGGCCTCTCTTTCCCGACCTCCTCATGGATCTCTGATAGTTGTTGGAGAGACTCCTTGGCTACTTATTCTTCATCAGTGTATTTAAGGAGAAAAGACAAGAAACATTCATATAATAGTGAGATAAGAGTAACTCAATTGCCTGTCTAGAGAAGTTGTTCATATGTCAATTTATAATTGTGCAGATTGAGAATGAGTATGGACCCGAAAGCGAGGCATTTGGTGGTGCCGGTTATGCATACATGTCATGGGCTGCGAAAATGGCTGTTGAATTGGGTACTGGGGTCCCATGGGTTATGTGCAGGGAAGACGATGCTCCGGATCCAGTGGTAAACAATCTCATTGAATTTGTCTATTATCTTTAGCTTAGCTCCAATTACGTATCTTTGTCCGATTCAATAAGCTACACTATGCATCTTGATTTTCTTCTAGTTTTCTTGAATTTTCTCATTAATCGTTCCACTGGTCACATTTGGAGTTTTCCATTAGCTTTTTGCACTAGCAAATACCTAATTCGAGTTATGCTTGAATCTTGGTAACAGATAAACACGTGCAATGGTTTTTATTGTGATTATTTCTCTCCAAACAAACCTTACAAACCCACAATGTGGACTGAGGCTTGGAGTGGCTGGTAAGTTCAAAATCTACCGTCTCTCTTGAAACTCAACCTAAAATGCATTTTTATTTGCTCTCTTTCACTTTAAAGGTTTACTGAATTTGGTGGCCCAATTCACCAACGACCAGTTGAAGATTTAGCATTTGCAGTTGCTCGGTTCATTCAAAGGGGTGGCTCATTTGTTAATTACTACATGGTGAGAGACAATCTGGTTTTCAATTTTCAAAGACTCACTGCCATGTTAAAAATGGTTTCACCAAATCAGTATTTTGGGATGTTGATTTCACGTGATATGATTTCAACTGATAGATTTAGATAATTGTGCAAGCTTAGTTAAGCAATCGTGCTCATGATATTGTTTTCAACAGTATCAAGGAGGGACAAACTTTGGAAGAACAGCAGGAGGACCGTTCATCACTACCAGCTACGACTACGATGCTCCCCTTGATGAATATGGTGGGAAATCTAAACTAAAATACTTTCAATACACAAAAATTGGACACAACTTTCAATTCTTAGATTCTACTTGGATATACATATATATTTTTTAATTTGGGATTGCAACTAATTGCTTGATTATGCGAAATGGATAGGCATGATTAGGCAACCCAAGTATGGTCATTTGAAGGAACTACATAGCGCTATTAAGCTGTGTGAGCGAGCTTTAGTTTCTGCTGATCCTACTGTTACTTTGTTGGGAAGCTATTCACAGGTTTGCCGCCTTCTCAATTTCAAGGACATAGTTAAAAAATACCCATGGTTTTACGTTTTTGTGTGAAATATTTTGGAAATTCATAAAACAATTTGAAAGTGTTTCCCAAGAATGGAGTGTTTTTAGAAGAAGTTCATGAAAGTTGCTTTCAGAAACAGTATATTATTTTCCATTTTCAGAGTTTTCAAAACTAGAAAACAAAAAACATAAATGATACCAATTGCACCCAAGTTCTCTTGAAGGCATTCTACACTGCAGCCTCTTCCACCATCGTAGGACGCATTTGAACTGGCCACTAGAAACAATTTTAGTTGCCGATTATTTCTTGAAATTGCTTTGCTATTTCTGATAATTGGATGATTTCTGTTTTTTATTTTTTTCAGGCACATGTATTCTCTTCCGAGTCAGGAGATTGTGCGGCTTTTCTTTCAAACTACCATTTAGAGACAACTTCAAGGGTGACATTTAGAGGCGTGCACTATGATCTCCCGCCTTGGTCCATCAGCATTCTTCCCGATTGCAAAAATGTTGTCTTCAACACCGCCAAGGTAATTTGAATGAGAAATGTGGATTTTATTTTTTTGTAATATACCAAAGTTTTTCCCCAGGATGAGATGGAAAATAAGTTTCCATCTCTCAATTGCAGGTCGGAGTTCAAACATCCCAAATGCAAATGTTGCCAACCAATGCTGAGCTTCTCTCTTGGGAAACATTCAGCGAAGACATATCCTCAGCTGATGAAGATTCCAAGATCACAGTTGTTGGTCTCTTAGAACAATTAAATGTTACCCGAGATACCAGTGACTATCTCTGGTACATGACCAGGTGAGATCGAGTACTGGATTATCATCTTTTGTGGATTTTCTGAACATAATTGTATTGGGTTTTTGTAATTTTATTTATTTTTATTTTTTGTGATTTTATGAATTTTCAGTGTTGAAATAAGTCCATCCGAGTCGTTTCTGCACAGTGGCCAGCATCTCACTCTCACTGTGCAGTCAGCAGGCGATGCCTTGCATGTGTTCACAGATGGACAACTATCTGGTAAATTGTTGATTTCTGTGTTTTCGTTTTCTGCTTTCTCTTCTTGAAAATAAAAATAAAAAATAACCTGAAATTGATACAGAAAACTGTTTCTGAATACTATCTTTGGGAAAGTTCTATGAGAACACCTTCTAAATTGAAAATGATGGGCGCATTCAAACTCTTCATTGCTTTTGTTTCTGAAAACACAAAAAATGAAAACAAAATTTTGAAAACGCTACCAAACAGGGCTATTACTACTCAACTATGTCTAGCTAGTAATGAATTAGTTCCAACAGGCAACAAAAATACACATGCTAAAAAATTGCTTGAATGATCATTCTGTTTTGCTTGATTTATAGGGTCTGCCTTCGGAACTCGGAAAAACAGAAAATTTACTTTTACAGCAAATGCCAACCTGCATGCTGGAACAAACAGAATTTCACTACTCAGTGTAGCTGTTGGATTGCCGGTTGGTTCACGAGCCTTAATTTAGAATTATTATGTCAAGTTTGATTTTAAATTATTTATTATTAGCAGAAAAAATGAGTAAATTCAAGATCTCACCTCTTAAAAAATCAAGTTCCTATAAAGTAAGATTTCAAATTCCATTTTTTCATATGACTCATCATAAATAATTAGACTTATAACCGATATGGTGGTTTCAACATATTAAATAATTGTTTATATGATATTTTTAATTAATAGACACTTAGGCCTCGTTTGGAAACCCTCCATTTTAACAAAAAAGTCAAAAAGTTACTAATTAGTCAAAAAACCAACAACTCATATCAAAAAGTCAAAAATTCTCTTTTCTTTCTACTTTTTGTACATCTTTTCGTAAAAATCCAAAAAATCATCCCAAATATACTAGTTTTTTTTAGTTCATATTTTAGCCAAATAACTAAAAAATTACTAAATTAGTCTGTTCCCAAACGAGACTTAAGACATGTTTTGGGAGCTCATCATTTTAGTCAAAAAAAAGTTAATTTTTTTTTCTTTTTTTATACATATTTTTTAGTAAAAAATTTAAAAATTATTAGAAAAACTAATTCGCCAAACAAATTACAGGATGTTATGTTGAGCAACCAGCACCAAAGTCCTGTTAGTTGAGTATATGGACACATGCACACACTATATGGATTAACAACAATGTTAGAGGGTCACAATTTTTGTGATCACAATGACTCAAAACTGTTAAAACGACATCGTTTTGGCATGTTTTGCACCAAAAACGACATCGTTTTGACAATTTTAAGCTATTGTGACCACAAAATTGTGGCTCTCAAACATTTCTCATGGATTAAATGTTCTTCTTTTTTTTTTTTATTATTATTACATAAATACAATTGCGGATTTAAAGGTTATATGAATGTACTGGCTGTTCAATGAAAATTGAATGACTATGCCCTCTTTTGCGTGACATGACACTTTCAGATCAACAATTCATGAATTCAAAAAAGGAGCCACCAAAGAAAATCAAAGCAGTCATGAATGTGTATATCAAATTGTAAAAATCCATAAAATGCCTCTTTTCAGCCTTTTTCATATCCACAGCCAAACATGTCCTTCACTTTTTCTGTTCTAACAATCCATCTTTTTTAATGCCATTTGAGCTCTCTCCTCTGTTCTTTTGCACAGCAGTATCAAAACAACACCTTATTCTCACACAATCTTTTTAATATATTTTCTTGGTTTTCTTTCCCTCCACGGGAGAGACACAATCTCTCTCTCTCTCTCCTCTGTTCAAGAAAGAAACAGAGAAATGGAAACTAACCCAGTTTCCAAATGGAGTTTTCTATGGATATTGTTGATTTGGGGAGTTCAATTAGCACAATGCAGTGTAAGTTATGATAACAAAGCTCTTATCATCAATGGACAGAGAAGAATTTTGCTCTCTGGCTCCATACATTACCCAAGAAGCACCCCTCAGGTAACTTTCCCACACTTTCCGGGAAAATGCAGATCCCTTGTGAAAATTTTCTTAACAAAATCAATGTGGGTACTTTGTAGATGTGGGAAGGGCTTGTGCAGAAGGCCAAAGATGGAGGCTTGGATGCTATTGACACATATGTGTTCTGGAACCTTCATGAACCTTCTTCTGGCAATGTACTCTGTTTTTTTACTTGCATTTTGTTCATTTTGCCCGACTTTTCTCTGTATTCTCTAATTGGTAGTTCTCTCTCTCTCTCTCTTCATTTGTTGCGGGTTTTAGTATAATTTTGAAGGAAGATGTGACTTGGTTCGATTCATAAAGGTGGTTCAGAAAGCAGGGCTATATGTTCATCTTCGTATTGGGCCTTATGTTTGTGCAGAGTGGAATTTTGGGTAGTCACATTTCTGGTTGTGTATTTTAAAGTTTTAATCTATATATATATATATATATTATGAGTTTTGAGATTCAAGTTTTATTTTTTATTTTTTATTTTTAACGTTTGATTTTGTTTTGCTTTTGTGTTTTTAGGGGTTTTCCTGTTTGGTTGAAGTATGTTCCTGGCATCAGCTTCAGAACAGATAATGAACCTTTCAAGGTCTCTCTCTCTCTCTCTCTCTCTCTCAAGATTTTGTAAATTAAGCCGTTACCTTAATAGATAATTATTGGTGTTGCAGACAGAGATGCAAAGGTTCACCCAAAAAATTGTCCAAATGATGAAGGATGAGAAGCTGTTTAAGTCTCAAGGTGGTCCGATCATCATGTCCCAGGTGTGGCCTTTTGTGTTTCTTTGCCTCTTCATATTTGCTGTGTTGCGGTGATTTTTCCATAATAAAGCTTATATTTTTGTCTGAATTTGTATATGACACAGTGGAATAAAATAGATATCATTATAGTAAACGAAAAGGGTGTCAAATAACTAAGAAATAATCTTGCAAAACACGAAATAACTAAGAACTAAGAACAAGTTGCAAAAAATAGCAAATTTGAGTAAAACCCAAATTCTAGTACTATTAGGCCTTGGAGAAGTGCCAAAACAAGCGGCATTGGAAAAAAGAAACTTCTAAATAAAGTTATAACAAAACTTAGCAAAAATAGAAAAAAATGCCAATTTGAAGTTAGTTTGAGCTCGTTAATCTGACCTCACCAGCATATTCTTCTGACTTTGTTTGGTAACAATAGTCTTAGCCCGGCCTCTCTTTCCCGACCTCCTCATGGATTTCTGATAGTTGTTGGAGAGACTCCTTGGCTACTTATTCTTCATCAGTGTATTTAAGGAGAAAAGACAAGAAACATTCATATAATAGTGAGATAAGAGTAACTCAATTGCCTGTCTAAAGATATTGTTCATATGTCAATTTATAATTGTGCAGATTGAGAATGAGTATGGACCCGAAAGCGAGGCATTTGGTGGTGCCGGTTATGCATACATGTCATGGGCTGCGAAAATGGCTGTTGAATTGGGTACTGGGGTCCCATGGGTTATGTGCAGGGAAGACGATGCTCCGGATCCAGTGGTAAACAATCTCATTGAATTTGTCTATTATCTTTAGCTTAGCTCCAATTACGTATCTTTGTCCGATTCAATAAGCTACACTATGCATCTTGATTTTCTTCTAGTTTTCTTGAATTTTCTCATTAATCGTTCCACTGGTCACATTTGGAGTTTTCCATTAGCTTTTTGCACTAGCAAATGCCTAATTCGAGTTATGCTTGAATCTTGGTAACAGATAAACACGTGCAATGGTTTTTATTGTGATTATTTCTCTCCAAACAAACCTTACAAACCCACAATGTGGACCGAGGCTTGGAGTGGCTGGTAAGTTCAAAATCTACCGTCTCTCTTGAAACTCAACCTAAAATGCATTTTTATTTGCTCTCTTTCACTTTAAAGGTTTACTGAATTTGGTGGCCCAATTCACCAACGACCAGTTGAAGATTTAGCATTTGCAGTTGCTCGGTTCATTCAAAAGGGTGGCTCATTTGTTAATTACTACATGGTGAGAGAAACTGGTTTTCAATTTTCAAAGACTCACTGCCATGTTAAAAATGGTTTCACCAAATCAGTATTTTGGGATGTTGATTTCATGTGATACGATTTCAACTGATAGATTTAGATAATTGTGCAAGCTTAGTTAAGCAATCGTGCTCATGATATTGTTTTCAACAGTATCAAGGAGGGACAAACTTTGGAAGAACAGCAGGAGGACCGTTCATCACTACCAGCTACGACTACGATGCTCCCCTTGATGAATATGGTGACAAAACTAAACTAAAATACTTTCAATACACAAAAATTGGACACAACAACTTTCAATTCTTAGATTCGACTTGGATATATATATATATATATTTTTTAATTTGAGATTGCAACTAATTGCTTGATCGTGTGAAATGGATAGGCTTGATTAGGCAACCCAAGTATGGTCATTTGAAGGAACTACATAGCACTATCAAGCTGTGTGAACGAGCTTTAGTTTCTGCTGATCCTACTGTTACTTTGTTGGGAAGCTATTCACAGGTTTGCCACCTTCTCAATTTCAAGGACATCGTTAAAAAATACCCATGATTTTTATGTTTTTGCGTGAAAATTTTTGGAAATTCATAAAACAATTTGAAAGTGTTTCCTAAGAGTGGAGTGTTTTTAGAAGAAGTTCATGAAAGTCACTTTCGGAAACAGTTTGCCAAACAAGTTGTCTATATTATTTTTCATTTTCAGAGTTTTCGAGTCCACAAAACAAAAAACATAAATGATACCAATTGCACCCAAGTTCTCTTGAAGGCATTCTACATTGCAGCCTCTTCCACCATCGTAGGACGCATTTGAACCAGCCACTAGAAATAATTACAGTTGCCGATTATTTCTTGAAATTGCTTTGCTATTTCTGGTAATTGGATGATATCTGTTTTTTATTTTTCAGGCACATGTATTCTCTTCCAAGTCGGGAGATTGTGCGGCTTTTCTTTCAAACTACCATTTAGACACAACTTCAAGGGTGACATTTAGAGGCGTGCACTATGATCTCCCGCCTTGGTCCATCAGCATTCTTCCCGATTGCAAAAATGTTGTCTTCAACACCGCCAAGGTAATTTGAATGAGAAATGTGGATTTTATTTTTTTGTAATATACCAAAGTTTTTTCCCAGGATGAGACGGAAAATAAATTTCTCTCAATTGCAGGTCGGAGTTCAAACATCCCAAATGCAAATGTTGCCAACCAATGCTGAGCTTCTCTCTTGGGAGACATTCAGCGAAGACATATCCTCTGCTGATGAAGATTCCAAGATCACAGTTGTTGGTCTCTTAGAACAATTAAATGTTACCCGAGATACCAGTGACTATCTCTGGTACATGACCAGGTGAGATCGAGTACTGAATCATCGTCTTTAGTGGATTTTCTGAACATAATTGTATTGGGTTTTTTTAATTTTATTTATTTTTATTTTTTGTGATTTTATGAATTTTCAGTGTTGAAATAAGTCCATCCGAGTCGTTTCTGCACAGTGGCCAGCATCTCACTCTCACTGTGCAGTCAGCAGGCGATGCCTTGCACGTGTTCACAGATGGACAACTATCTGGTAAATTGTTGATTTCTGTGTTTTCGTTTTCTGTTTTCTCTTCTCGAAAAAAAATTAAAAAATAAACCTGAAATTGATACAGAAAACTGTTTCTGAATACTATCCTTGGGAAAGTTCTATGAAAACGCCTTCTAAATTGAAAATGATGGGTGCATTCAAACTCTTCATTGTTTTTGTTTTTGAAAACACAAAAATGAAAACAAAATTTTGAAAACGCTACCAAACAGGGCTATTACTACTCAACTATGTCTAGCTGGCAATGAATTAGTTCCAACAGGCAACAAAAAATACACATGCTAAAAAATTGCTTGAATGATCATTCTGTTTTGCTTGATTTATAGGGTCTGCCTTCGGAACTCGGAAAAACAGAAAATTTACTTTTACAGCAAATGCCAACCTGCATGCTGGAACAAACAGAATTTCACTACTCAGTGTAACTGTTGGATTGCCGGTTAGTTCACGAGCCTCATTTTCGTTAGTTTTGAAGTCCTGAGTATTTGACTATAGTTTATATATAAAAAAAGGCACAAGGCTCCTACCAATGCAGGACCTAGAAAGGGCAAGATAAACGCAGTCTCTATTCCCATTTTGGAGAGGCTGTGGCTTTTATATAAATACACAAATTCATAAAAATACTACATAGCCGAGTGTGTGCAATCATTTTAGCATATGAAACTCAAGAAATTGTCTTAAGCATGGTGAATTTTCTATATCTAAATAATGAAAACATTTGGTGTTTTAGTATAAGCACTACAGAATATTAATGTTTCTTTTCTATATCTTTTGTTTCTTTGCTGATATTTATCTCAAAATTAATGTTTGTTTTCGTTGAAGAACAATGGGCCCCATTTTGAGACATGGAACACAGGAGTCCTTGGGCCGGTGGTTCTACATGGTCTAGACGAAGGAAAGAGGGACTTGTCTTGGCAGAAATGGACGTGCAAGGTCAATGAATATTACTTCTGTGTATTTTTTACAAGCCATTGTTTTCTTGAGACGGTTTTCAACTCATGAGTGTTCTCATTTACACAGGTTGGGCTTAAAGGAGAAGCGATGAATCTAGTTTCTCCAAGCGGAATTTCACACGTTGATTGGATGAAAGGGTCCTTGTTCATGCAAAAGCAACGGCCCCTTACATGGTATAAGGTATCGAAACAATGAAACGGTTCTTTTAGTTTGCATCTAAGAATTCTTAGAACGATATCTAATGTCTTGTCTTAGTTTCTCAGTTGTTTTTAATTTAAAAGGTTGGTATAATCTTGGGAAAAGCTTAATTGATAATTGCCTAAGGTTTGGCCTAACAAGGCAAATTTGCGGGCTTTTTCAGGACCATCCCCTTTAAAAGGCTACTCTAGTGAATCATATTGACCGGAATTTGGTGCCTTTATTAAGAGGCAGGTTGAGTTGAGTTTTTGAACTTTGAAGGGTAGTATAACCTTTATAAAATAAGTACTTCATTTTCTGTTATAACCATAATTCCAGAGTTTTTTTTAAAATTTTTTTTTAAAATTTAAATCTTAGGACTCTGATACCATAATATAAAGGATACTATGCATTATCGGTTTAATTTCGCATTATATCCTGTAGGCTTATTTCAATACACCGGACGGAGATGAGCCATTGGCCCTAGACATGGGCAGCATGGGAAAAGGTCAAGTATGGATCAATGGGGAGAGCATTGGAAGATATTGGACTATCTATGCCAATGGTAATTGCTCTCAGTGTAGTTATTCCGGAACATTTCGACCCACAAAGTGCCAACTTGGTTGTGGTCAACCAACTCAAAGATGGTATAAACTTTCTAAAGTTCAATTTTTTTTTTTTTTTTTTGATATCAAACTTGGGTTTCTAAGTTCATAATTTTTTTTGGGGTTTTAGGTACCATGTTCCTCGGTCATGGTTGAAGCCGACCCAAAATCAACTGGTTGTTTTTGAAGAACTCAGTGGAGATGTATCAAAGATTTCTCTGATGAAAAGATCAGTGAACAGTGTATAATTTTTGGACAGGGTTGAATCATAGGCTTTTAAAGTCCATTACTCATGAGCTTTGGGTGGACTTGGGATCCTATTCTTGCACCTCTTAACCAATAAACCAAAGTCGAAGATGAAAAGACAGTGTCATTGTATTTTGTTTGTAAATGTGGGGAAATCAAACCCCAATCAAGGGTAAGTTTTTATTTATTTGTTTTTATTAATATATTTATGATGAGAAATTTTCCAAAACAGAACCCTTTGTATTCATCTTTGCAGAGTAATTTTGGATACCTGCAATTATTTGCAAATTACATATTGTGATTAATCAAATTGATGTAAGTCAAATACTACATAAGTTGAAGTTACATCAAGAGGATTCTCAATCACAATGCTTGTAGTTGTTGCAACTTGCAAGCCCCTCTCTGATTTTAACTTGGACACATCAAAATCAAGAAGGAATTTCCTACCCTTGCAAGTGCACCAAGAGGATACCCCTACAAGTAGTGTATTGTGTATTATACTCTTATGTCTTTTAAAAATTTTCATATCGATGATGTGGTCGATTTAAATAATTGCATGATTTTAAAAATTAAAAAAAAATGATAAATAAAATATTATTAGATAAATACGAAGTCATGTAATATTCTGAAATCGTATAATATTTAATGTTTGTGATGGAGTTACAATTGTGAAAAGATGCATATATTGTTTTGTGGTAATTGATGGTTGAGATAGAGTGGATGGTTGATAAAATTGTGATGTGACATGGTGTAGTTAGCTTAAAGTTGGAATTACATTAAATTAAATGGACGAATAAGATAATATCAACATGTGTTGCATAAAGTTTTTCTTTTTGTTCAATTAGTTAGTAGATAGATATGGACGAATCATTGAAATTGTTGTCAAGTTAAAATATTATTTATGGGCTTATCCTCTTTTACGCAAAATCATCTCAGATTGAAGTAGCTCAAGACGAAATATGAGCTGAGTTGGAACAATCTTTGATGCCCGACCACTAATCGCAACTGGAACTAAAAAGCAGAAATCTAAATTCAACACGTGGAGGGTAGAAATCTAAATTCAATTCAATAAAAATAGCCGGACGGATTGAGCCCAAAATACAATGGGGGCCAACCATTTGATTGGGCGTATCTTACATAATAAAGTTTAGAATAAACATTTGATTAGCATAAATTCGATAATCAGAAGCAATTGTAAGTTGACCACTGCTGAAATGACCTCTAATAAAGGGTTGACTATCTGATTAGAGAGAGACCGACAGTTGACAACAATATATCAATCAACTATAAAAGGAAATCAAACAAACATGTAAAGGACATGCATAGGTAATTAAGAATAACTATATAAGCACATCTTTCCTTTATTTTTCTATTGCAATCATACCTAACCAGAGTATTGACTTCATCGTTGGAATTTCTTAATCTCGAACTTTAGTTTCTCTTGTAGGTGTAAAATAAAGCGTTTCATCTCGCTAATCTCATATGGAGACAAAATTGTTGTACAAATTGTGAAAATCAAACAAAATAAATAGATTCATATTGAACAACTACTTAGAATTTCAGAACAAGAATATGTTGGAATTTACAGAAATTCATAATAAAATAAAACTAATAAAAGGAAACAAATTGAAACCTGTGTGATACCACAGTTTCCTTAAAACAGATTCATTGTTTTTCAATGGATAATGAAGGTATGCCAGTGTCTGTCTCCCAGGACACAACGGTCGAAACCAGCTAATGCAGAAGCACCTTCTGAATAATTTTGGCAAACTAATAATGGTTGCACTCTCTCTAACAAGAACCAAAGAAGGGGCTAGAAAAAGAAGATAGGAAACTTTTTTTTAGTGTAAAAAATCATCTCTAACTTTTTTTTTTAAAATCTCAAAACAACATCTCAATTTTCCATAAAAAATCTCTCTAAAACTCTTCTTCTAAGTTGGAAGGGAAATGCCCTTTTTATACTTATAAGGAAGAGATCTTAGCCATGAAGGTTACCATAAAACCTAGCATCAATGGCCAACTAGATGGGTTGCAAAATGGATACGAGTATTAGATCACAACCCAATCCACACCCAGTCTAAAACATATGCATAAGACAAACCCCGTTCAGTATAGCACATAGCCCATGCCCAAGACTAAGTCCAACACATGCTAATACACAAGCCTAGGCCAATCCAGACCAAGACTAAAACTAAGTCCAAGTCCAAGGTCCAAGGTCCAAGGTCCAAGCCCAACTTCTATTGATGCCCACTTTATGAGACAATTTTCATTCATAACTCAATGGTTTCGGTCCATCATTTTTATATTGTAATCTTCTCACTTGAGATAATACAAAACCACTCAGACCTACCTTAACCGGCAGTTGGGTCCCACTTTAATTTCAAATTAAAGTTGCCGAAAACTATTATAATCCAACAATCCCCCACATGAATAAAATTGACCGAATAAAGAAAAACAGGCAAAGCTACAAAGACTCGGAGAAAGAGCGCACAGAATAACCCTGCATCAGAAAAGGTAGACGTTGGCCTTGAACCTTTTGTAGTGAATGCCTACTGGATTTACTGGCTGACCCAGCGAACATGATGTCTTGAACTGTTTGGCCGTTTGTGTAAATCAAGACAATAGAGCTCACTCAGAAGTTACTCCAACCATTGTTCTTGTTCTTATTGTTGTGTCCGGTTTGGTCCTGAAACACTAGCCTGGTTCAGTGAGTGTTTTTAAAAAATTCAGCCTCGTCAATTCTTAAAGAAACAACCCCACTTCGCACTCACATAGGTGACCTACATAAGGTATCTCGCTATACCACGGTTGACTATTTACAACGCTTAGGTCATTAAAAGCTTCGACTTAACCTTCCACCCCACAGGGTATCACTGTATAAAGAAATTGGCAGGAGGATTTACCTCCAAAGTGACTCATCCGTTACACGCAATTAGGTTGCCTCTTTGAACCTAGATCTTGGGATCTCCAGTCAACTAGGTTGGATTTTTCATTCTTGTAACATTCGTTAAAGGCCTTAACCTCATTCCTCTTGACGACTTCTTACTAACTCTCGGTTTAACCCTTAGGTTAACGGATCGGTAATATTTTCCTTAAATTGTATATAGTCTATAATGACAACACACAAGAGTAGTTATCGTATGGAACTACATCTTCGACAAAAATGTCTAGACCTTTCATCTGTGCCCTACCAATACTTGATTGTCGCAAAGTATACAAAATTGCTAGCACAAGTTTTGATCAATATGGAATACCCTCAATAAAATGACAAAGCCATTCAGTTACTTTAGTAGCTTTATCTAAACCACTGAATTCCGATTCCATCATTGATCTCATGATACACATTTGCTTAGAAGATCTCCAAGACACGGTTGCAGCTTCAATCAGAGAAAACATATCCACTAATGGATTCGTAGACTTTGTATCAGATTTCCAGTAGGCGCCTTTGTACCTTTCTAGTACAACTAGACATCAAGTGTTATGCAACCCATAATCTCGGGTGTAGTGTAAATAACTTAGTACTTGCACAAACGCCCTCTAAAGATAGGCGTTAGGATTACTTGTGTATCTACTAAGCCTGCTAACTGAGTAGGCTCTATCTAGCCTTGTGCAACTCATCAAATATTTTAAACTTCCAATGACTTGAGAATATACTAGTTGAAATACACTTCCACTATTATTCTCGGCCAAATGTAGACATAAATCTATCAGTGTCCTCGACACACTTGTATCTGATTTACTAAATTTCTCAAGTATTTTATCAACATAATGAGGTTGAGAAAGTACAATACTATCAAATGTTGTAGTAATCTTAATACCCAGAATCACACTTGCAATGCCTATATCTTTCATATCAAACTTAGAGTTCAACATTAACTTGGTAATATTGAACATCTTTTCATAACTACTGACAATGAGCATGTCACATACACACAGACACAAAATGACATATACATTTATCAGTGTCTTTGACATCTACACATTTGTCAATATCTGTTTATTTAAAACCCACTTGACAACATAGTGTACTCAAATTTCTCATACCATTGTTCCGGTGCTTGTTTCAAATCATATAATGATTTCTCAAACTTACAGACTTTTCTCGTCCTATAACCGACAAACCCTTCGGGTTATTCCATAAAGATTTATTCAACTAAATCTTCATATAGGAAAGTTATCTGAACATCCATCTTGATGTGTTTCTAGATATCGCACAATTGCAATCACACTAATTATAACTGGTGATCATGTATCAAAGTAATCTAGGCCTTCTCTTTGCCGGTATCCTTTGATGACAAACCTATCTCATCGACTTTCATTCACTTGCATCACAAGGCTTACTACCTATGCAAGATAAAGCTAAATTAATAACTTCTTTCTATAGAAATCACAGCTTCAAAGAAGTTTTTAGCCTCACTAGCCACCATTTAGGTAAGAAGATTAGATAGAAGAACCTTAAAGTCCTAACATGTTAACATCTTTTAGGCTTATCTTTTTTTTCATAAAAACCATTTCCTTAATTTCATGATAATATTCTTGTGTAAATCTGAATATCAGATTATTGATATGCACTACCATATTGTGCATAACCGTTATGCATCACCGTTGAATGCAAAGTCAACAGATTTTTAGAAATATCTTACCCTCTTGGGTTTTAGTATTGTCATATTCTGCATGACACCCCCCATATTTGTCATTTTTTGCATTACACCCCCACATTTGTAGAATTTATACAAAGGCTTTGGGTCTTTTCCAAAAATTCATACAGGGTCTTTAAACAATTCCTTGTGTCACAATGAATATGAAACTCTCAAAATCATATCACAGTAAATATATTCTCAGAATGTCATCAACCGAATTAGGCACCCAAACATAATTGGTGGAACCTATTACTTTGAAGCCAATAGTCTTACTATTTGGAAACACAAATCTAGTGTTCAATAGTCTACTATTCGGAACTTCATGACATGGCCAGTAGTTTTATCACTAAGAATCACTAATTTCTCAACATGTGGTCAGTAGACTTTTTATTACTAGGTTAACCTGTGATCAGTAGTCACTTTACTACTAAGAATCACAACGTCCTCACATAGGATCAATAGACTCTTTCATTACCATGAATCATCACGTTTTGACATATGATCAGTAGCCTCTCCACTGCTAGGAACTATCATGTCTTGACATGTGATCAGTAATCTGTTCACTACTAGGAACCACAATCTCATAACTGTGTAGCCAGTGGTATAACATCTCCTAGGAACCACCAATTTTCTATCTCTGTGATCAGTAATCTTGTACTCACTAGGAGCCACCAATTTAAGAAAATATTTGGAATTGAAAATTTCAAAACT